TTTCGCTGAAAACAAACTTGCAATGTTCAAGGAAAACTGTTCATAACATGTATGCATTCTTCCCCATGGGTATGGCTCAAATTTTTGCAGTCATTGCTTATTGGAGTTCTGCAAGTGCGGTAGGGTTATTTTCATACACATTAACCTTTAAATAACCCCGTATATTGAAGTCAAAGGCATTGAGATCAAGACTGTGGGATGACCATGGGTCCTCCATCCTAGGAGAGATAATCTTCTCATAGAAATGACTAGTGAGCCAGGCTATGCTAGCATTAGAAGTGTGAGGAGTAGCTCCATCCTTCTAGAACCACTGTTCTTGTCTATTGAAGCCTCCGTGTCACTCTAAAACTGCCTGGGAACGCCAATATTGCGCTGTGTGTTAACAGTAACAGTGTTGCCATTATCAACCTCAAACCAAAAGGGGCTGATGATTTCATGTTTGGAAATTGGCAGCCCAAGCTGTGCATTTAACAGCATGTAGGGGCCTGTGAAGCACTTTATCTGGAATTTGTGATCCCAGAACATATTATTCCTTGAGTCTACATGTTCAGAAAGAAGGGAATGTGACTCATCCGAAAACCTAACATTGGAGATGGACGACATTTGGAGCATATTTTGGAACGACCATAACTCTATCAATATAAGACAATGATTATTGAAACTTTGCCAGAGGATCCCACATTGAATGAAGTCCTTGTGTGCCAAATTTCAGAGCAATTAACCTCCATTTAAGAAAAATATTCGAGAAATGGAGGGTTGCATTTTTTTTGGGTCACCCTGTAAATAGATTATTTGGTTCAGTGAAGCTGACAATTCCTCCAATCCAACCCCATGTCCATTGTCTAAAATAAACATTGCAATTCCATTTTATATGTAACATGTTCATTTTTGCAAGGAACAAAATACCACACATTCATATTTTGCCAGAGTTGAAATTTAGTACTAGATCACATAAACTGTAGGTGTATGCAATAAAAATGTTTAACCTCTGACAGAGTTGAATCACTAACTTCATAGCCTGACAAACAGAGTTGAAACACTTAAAAGTTAAACATGAATTTTGCTGGGAAAGCTATTATCATCACTGGGTCTAACAGTGGTATTGGTAAAGCAACTGCATTACTATTTGCAAGACAAGGAGCTAGTGTGCTAATCCATGGAAGGGATCTTGAGACACTTGAACAAACTGTGAAAGAATGTAAACAGATTGGTGCTGAAAATGCCAAGTTTCCAATGGTGCAAGGAGATGTTCAGGACACTGGGACACTGAAAAAGATATTCAAAGCTGCAGTTGAAGAATTCGGTAAAATTGACATTCTTGTGAACAATGCTGGATGTCCTCAAATGGCGTCATTCTCAGATGGGTCAGAAGAAAGTTTTGATTGGCAGTTGAACGTTAATCTGAAAGCTCCAATATTTCTTTCGCAGATGTGCTTTCCAGAATTGAAAAAAGCTGGCGGAAACATTGTTAATATTTCAAGTGCATGTGGTGCATGTCCAAATGCCATTGGTATGAGCTTCTATGCTGTTGCTAAGGCTGGACTTAACCAGTTTACTCAATGTGCTGCTATAGAGTTTGGCTCAGAGGGGGTAAGAGTAAATGCAGTGTGTAGCGGAATGGTCAAAACACCTGCATACAAGAAACTTTTTGGGTTAAAAAGCGATGAAGAAGTAGATGCTTTTTTGGATAGAGCAACAAAGTCCACTCCAACCCCCACAAAATATGTCACAGCTGAGGAGACAGCTAAACTGATTGTTTACTTGGCGTCTGATGATGCATCAATGATGAATGGAGCATGCATTATTCATGATGGTGGTTCGAGCTTGATTGGAAATGATTTGAAGACAATTGAAAAATACAATAATTGACAGCCCCTTCAAAAATGGGAACTGCTAAGGAAACATCTAAACTAACTGTACATTTGGCAATTGATGATGCATCAATGATGAATGGAGCATGCATTATTCATGATGGGGGTTTGACCTTGATTGGAAATGATGTAAAAAACACCTGAAAATGCAATAGTTAATAGGTAACGCATAACATAGCATTAAGTTAATCCAGAAGACTCAATTGAAGCCACCATATTGTTTTCATATGGGAAACTTTAAATTACCCTTTAACAGCCCCTTCAAAAATAACTGCTTGGAAATATTTATTAACTTTTTATTATAACTTTTATTGACATATAGTATTATAACATGATTGGGGTAAACTGATTGTATATTTGGCATTTGATGCTGGATCAATGGAAAATGGACCTTGGATTATTTTTGATTGTGGACTACTTTATTTTGAATTGATATAAAAAAACTACGAAAAATATAAGAGTGAAGTACATGTATGATACGAAGAAAAATGTAACAAAAAACTAACTAACATGTGATATAAATGGGTAAATAAACATGTCTTAAAAACTTGTTGTAGGTGTACATTAAAGTGTAACAAAATAGGCATTAGTAATAAATAAATTCTTTTTAATTTTGATTCTTGATCTGATCTGGATGATTTACCAGTAATAACTAGACAACAGCAACGCCAAAGTGTAGCAAAACCCATCAAATAGCCATGGCTGGCATTTTTACAAACAAAGTATAGAGCAAAAATGGCAGCCATTTTTCAAAATGGCCACCTTCTACCAAAAGTGTCATTAGACAGTGTGCCATGCTTATAGTATTCACATACCAAATATGAACAAAATCGCTCCACCACTTTTAGAGTTATAGTAAAATACATTAAAATGGTGACCATTTTTCAAAATGGCCGCCTTCTACCAAAAGTGTCATTAGACAGTGTACCATGCTTATGGTATTCACAAACCAAATATGAACAAAATCGCTCCGCTACTTTTAGAGTTTTAGTGAAATACGTTAAAATGGTGGCCATTTTTCAAAATGGCCGTTGTGTACCAAAAGTGTCATTAGACAGTGTGCCATGTTTATAATATTCACATACCAAATATGAACAAAATCGCTCCACTACTTTTGGAGTTATAGTAAAATATGTTAAAATGGCGGCTATTTTTTCAAAATGGTGGCCAATTTTCAAAATGGACCGACGGATGGACAGACGGAGGCGTTCCCTATATCCCTCCGAACTTTGTTCAATGGGATTATAATGGTAATACTGTTATGGGGAACATGAGCATCATCTCATATTTGAATGTGAACATTTTATAAATTGGTTTGAGACATGTAAATATTGACAAAACATAGGGAATAAATGGGACAAAATAATGTGACTGCAAGGGTAATACTATTTTGTTTATTATATACTGTACTCATGTAGTACTTAAAATAATCTTACTGATTCAAAACAGCTATGTTGCTATTCAGAAGATAGATACATAAATGTCACAAACATTCCTTATTTTACATTTATGCATATTAATTCTGCTATAACATGGGACTGTTGAATAGAATCTAGGTGACACCATAAATCACACCATAGAAAGTAATATGCCCTTTGATCTAATGTCAAAAGAATAATGTCAAACCATAATAGTGACTATACTAATATGCTCCTTGAAACAAGGTTCCTAAACACCAAAAATTAAGTCGGTGAAATTAGTTTATTTTTCAAAATGCATTCATTTTTCAAGTACCTGGAAATGTCATGGAAACTGAGACAAACAAGAGACACAGAAACATATATAAACAGCTAAATTGTCACCATTCAATTTGCCCAGCATGCCCAAAACAAATCAGATCTTAACACTAGTCTGCTCTTGCATGTGTGAAAATTTCAAGTTGAACATGTTGGTGGTTTCCATGAATTTAAATGACAAGAATTGATTCGTAGCCTAAACTTCGATAACATCGCTTGTGACCTACTTTGATGACCTATAATGCAATCAAGCTGACCTAAATTTCAATCTAAGAATCTTTTTGAGCTTTTCAAGGTCAGCAAAGGTCAACCAAAGGTCAAAACAGAAATCTAAGGTAAGATTTGAAGTCCTGAGAACTTTGAGATAATTTTTTAAAAAATAGTTAATTTTAAGCAAGTTGGAAAAATTCAAAATGGCCGACTTTTGAAAAATTCAAAATGGCTACTGTGTAGTTAAGCAAGAATACCATAGGCAAAGGTCAATAGAAATAATTTTAAAATAAAGATGGCATGCCAATAGATCTGTGTTTATTTATAATATTCTCTTCAGGTACTCAATGGGAGCCGAAGTGGTACTTTATAGAAATCGTTTTTTTTGAAACAGCCCTACTGTTTGATAAAAGACATATCCATATACATACCAAGTGTGTAGTGTTGATTAAACACTAACTGAAATAGGCATAATATGACTAAGAACATCAAAGTTGCGGTTTGCGTAAATGGCCATTGAAGTAGTAATTATAGTCTAGGAAGTAGTAATTATTCACTTCTCTCTTCAATTAGACGTTTATTCTCAAACATCAACAAATGATCTGAAATGTGTCTAGTGATTTTTTCGTATTTTTAGAAAGTTTTTAGAATGATATGCTATTTTTAAAGGCTTCTCCAAAAATCCGTAAGTACCAATTGTATGCTTTGCGCATTTGCAGAATCAATAAACACTTGATTCCTGCCATGGCCAATTTGGCAAAGTGGGACAGTGCCGTTTAATGACATCTCAGGCCGTCAGTATGCCATTACATATAGATTTTATGTGCTAGGTATATCAATCCATATGTTTTCTTTATATCTAGTTATCTTTTTCACATTGGGAATAGCGTAAAGTCGACGAAAATTGGAATTCAAAAACTACATCAACAACTCTTTGAGCACCTGAGAAATAAGTATAATACTTGATTCTGTTGGTGCTGCCATCTTTATATCGACCCAGAACCTATGAAGAATACCAAAACCTATCGCATTTTTGCAAAGTCTACTCTTCATTTCATGTTGAACATGTAAGCAATTTTCCTGGAATTTCATGACAAGATTTGAATTGAATTGCCCATCAGCACAAGAGGATGGCAATATAGCACTTCTTCAAAATGCAATAAAAAGATTTATATGAACTTACATCTTCAGGTCTTGAGGTCCATTCATATCCCACTACAGCACATCTAAATCCATAGAAACAAGCCTTTTCATCTTTCACATAGTCACTTGCTGTCTCAAGGCTAAACGATACCTCATTTCCTGCAATATTGTATCACATATTATGTCATGGATTCATGTTCAAGGCTAAACGATACCTCATTTCCTGCAATATTGTATCACATATTATGTCTTTGTTTCATGTTCAAGGCTAAACGATACCTCATTTCCTGCAATATTGTATCACATATTATGTCATGGATTCATGTTCAAGGCTAAACGATACCTCATTTCCTGCAATATTGTATCACATATTATGTCTTTGTTTCATGTTCAAGGCTAAACGATACCTCATTTCCTGCAATATTGTATTACATATTATGTCTTTGTTTCATGTTCAAGGCTAAACGATACCTCATTTCCTACAATATTGTATTACATGTTATTAGTCTTTGACTTACATACAGTATTTACTCCTCAAACATCTACTGAGTTACAATTCAAATGTTCAATCAGGCCCAACTGAACTAACATCATTTAATGTAACAATTTAGCACACCAAATATTTCCATGGCAATAAAACTGCAATAAGTGTTTGTTTAGCAATTAAATGGAGATTCATATACCTGCTAGTATCACAGCCATTTGTGGCCAATTAGTGGTGCCAGAAAGTTTCCTCATGACGTTCCATGATTTCACCACCTCAGTAGAGCCCTCTATTGTTGTGACTGAGTTACTAGGGATTGACACATGGAGAATATCCTCGTTCTGTGCAGTCCCACACTGAGGATCAAACTCAAGAGAGAGCCACTTGACAGAATCAGGAAATGTCACCTAAAATGTCGAACAGGAGTGTGTGTGGAAGATTGGAAAGTGGGACATTTATGGGTAACATTTTAAAACGGGGCATAGGGACAATATATCTGTGCCAGATAAGTAGCTACAGACTAGGCATGCTGCAAAAGATGTCACCCCAGTATTTTTTATTACAATCAACCTCCAGGTCTGGTTTATCGCACAACAAAACTTGGAATATCTTTCTCTGGTTCTTGTATACCTTTAAATGAGAATTTTATTCCCACATTCCCACGTATGATAAGTTATGAGTCACAGCCTAACAATGTTCACTTTATATAAATGCTTTTCCAGTGATGCTCACCTTATAGTTGGCCACAGTTGCTGGTTTATATGGGTGATCACTCTCAACCATGGCATAATGGGGAACCATTCCTTCATCATTGCGCCCATTACCATTACCATTGCCAAGTTCCCCCTCTCGTAACCCAGGTAGTATTGGGTGCAACTGACTGTTCAACTCAGCAATAGGTGGCAACATTTCTTGTACAAGACTCAACACTTGTACAGCACACTTGAAATCAAAAAAATACACTACCATATGTAGCACACTTGAAATCAAAAAATACACTACCATTAATGTAGCAATTAAAACAATTCTCGAAATTCAGGTTCTGACATTTACTGAACTACAAATGATATCAGGATAAAACTGTTGCATGATTTCTACTCACCCTTGGATCTTGTGATGCTACTGGACCAATGTAAGCCAGAACCAATGGCAGGAGAGAGGAAAATATATGTGACCCTCCAATTATGTTGCCTATTTCATCTGCATGAAAAAAGTAAGAAATTGGCATTAATTTCTGATAAAACAGTCCTAATTGTACTTGTACTATTAGAGATTACAAATATATGGGATATATAGAAGAAGAGAATCACAAAGTTTTTTGTTATTGATTCTGTCAATGTTAACGAGAGATGATTTCAATTATTCATGGTTCCCTATATTGTGTTTATCATATGAAATGGGACATTGATAACATCGGGACTGTACCTGAACACGTGTTTGCTCTATGTAATAAGTCTGTTGATGGTTCCCTACAGTGTTTATCATGTGAAATGGGACATTGATAACATCGGGACTGTACCTGAACACGTGTTTGCTCTATGTAATAAGTCTGTTGATGGTACCCTACAGTGTTTATCATATGAAATGGGACATTGATAACATCGGGACTGTACCTGAACACGTGTTTGCTCTATGTAATAAGTTTGTTGATGGTTCCCTACAGTGTTTATCATATGAAATGAAACATTGATAACATCAGGACGTTGTGTTTATCATATGAAATGGGACATTGATAACATCGGGACTGTACCTGAACACGTGTTTGCTCTATGTAATAAGTTTGTTGATGGTTCCCTACAGTGTTTATCATATGAAATGAAACATTGATAACATCAGGACGTTGTGTTTATCATATGAAATGGGACATTGATAACATCGGGACTGTACCTGAACACGTGTTTGCTCTATGTAATAAGTTTGTTGATGGTTCCCTACAGTGTTTATCATATGAAATGAAACATTGATAACATCAGGACGTTGTGTTTATCATATGAAATGGGACATTGATAACATCGGGACTGTACCTGAACACGTGTTTGCTCTATGTAATAAGTCTGTTGATGGTTCCCTACAGTGTTTATCATATGAAATGGGACATTGATAACATCGGGACTGTACCTGAACACGTGTTTGCTCTATGTAATAAGTTTGTTGATGGTTCCCTACAGTGTTTATCATATGAAATGAAACATTGATAACATCAGGACGTTGTGTTTATCATATGAAATGGGACATTGATAACATCGGGACTGTACCTGAACACGTGTTTGCTCTATGTAATAAGTTTGTTGATGGTTCCCTACAGTGTTTATCATATGAAATGAAACATTGATAACATCAGGACGTTGTGTTTATCATATGAAATGGGACATTGATAACATCGGGACTGTACCTGAACACGTGTTTGCTCTATGTAATAAGTTTGTTGATGGTTCCCTACAGTGTTTATCATATGAAATGAAACATTGATAACATCAGGACGTTGTGTTTATCATATGAAATGGGACATTGATAACATCGGGACTGTACCTGAACACGTGTTTGCTCTATGTAATAAGTTTGTTGATGGTTCCCTACAGTGTTTATCATATGAAATGAAACATTGATAACATCAGGACGTTGTGTTTATCATATGAAATGGGACATTGATAACATCGGGACTGTACCTGAACACGTGTTTGCTCTTTGTAATAATAAGTTTGTTGATGGTTCCCTATATTGTGTTTATTATCATATGAAATGGGACATTGATAACATCGGGACTGTACCTGAACATGTGTTTGCTCTAAGTAATAAGTTTGTTGATGCTTCCCTATATTGTGTTTATCATATGAAATGGGACATTGATAACATCGGGACTGTACCTGAACATTTGTTTGCTCTATGTAATAAGTTTGTTGATGGTTCCCTATATTGTGTTTATCATATGAAATGGGACATTGATAACATCGGGACTGTACCTGAGCACGTGTTTGCTCTATGTAATAAGTTTGTTGATGGGTCCCTCTATCGTGTTTATCATATAAAATGGGACATTGATAACATCGGGACTGTACTTGAACAAGTGTTTGCTCTATGTAATAAGTTTGTTGATGGTTCCCAATATTGTGTTTATCATATAAAATGGGACATTGATAACATCGGGACTGTACCTGAACATGTGTTTGCTCTATGTAATAAGTTTGTTGATGGTTCCCTATATTGTGTTTATCATATAAAATGGGACATTGATAACATCTTCCCTATATTGTGTTTATCATATGAAATGGGACATTGATAACATCGGGACTGTACCTGAACATGTGTTTGCTCTATGTAATAAGTTTGTTGATGGTTCCCTATATTGTGTTTATCATATGAAATGGGACATTGATAACATCGGGACTGTACCTGAACACGTGTTTGCTCTATGTAATAAGTTTGTTGATGGTTCTCTATATTGTGTTTATCATATGAAATGGGACATTGATAACATCGGGACTGTACCTGAACATTTGTTTGCTCTATGTAACTAGAAAAACAGCAACTCCACGGAGTAGCAAATCCCACCGAACAAAACATGTTTTGATAAAAAAATTGAGCCAAATTCATCCACTGGTATTTGAATTATCAAAGATTATGTCTTTATGAAAAATGGCAGCCATTTTGAAATTTAGCAACTACCTTGAAAATCCCTTCTCGAGCAGAGCTCCTATGTCCCTAGGCATCATCATGTAAAATTTGAACCAAATCCATTCAATGGTAATTGAGTTATCAAAGATAATGTTTTTTATGAAAAATGGCGGCCATTTTGAAATTTAGCTGCCATCTTGAAAATCCTTTCTTGAGCAGAGCTCCTATGTCCCTAGGCATCAGCATCTAAAATTTAAACCAAATCAAATCAATGGTATTTGAGTTATCAAAGATAACCTTTTTTACCAAAAATCGCCGCCATTTTGAAATTAAGCTGCCATCTTGAAAATTCTTTCTCGAGCAGAGCTCCTATGTCCCTAGGCATCAGCATCTAAGATTTGAACCAAATCCATTAAATGGTCTTTGAGTTATCAAAGATAACGTTTTTTTACGAAAAATGGCCGCCATTTTCAAATTTGGTGGCCATCTTGAAAATGTCTTCTTGAGCAAGGCTCCTTTGTACCAAGGCAACAGCATATAAAATTTGAACCAAATCCATCCACTAGTATTTGAGTTATTAAAGATTATATTTTTTCCGAAAAATGGCCGCCATTTTGAATTAAGCGGCCATATTGAAAATTCACTTTTGAGCAGAGGTCCTACACCCATAAGGCGTAAGCCTATAAAATTTGAATGAAATCCGTCAACCAGTATTTGAGTTATTGCCCGGACACACGAACGGACGGACGGAAGGACGAACGGACGGACGGACGAACGGACGGACGGACGGCTTCTCTATATCCCCCTCGAACTTCGTTCGGTGGGATAATAAGTTTGTTGATGGTTCCCTATATTGTGTTTATCATATGAAATGGGACATTGATAACATCGGGACTGTACCTGAACACGTGTTTGCTCTATGTAATAAGTTTGTTGATGGTTCCTTATATTGTGTTTATCATATAAAATGGGACATTGATAACATCGGGACTGTACCTGAACATGTGTTTGCTCTATGTAATAAGTTTGTTGATGGTTCCCTATATTGTGTTTATTATCATATGAAATGGGACATTGATAACATCGGGAGTGTACCTGAACATGTGTTTGCTCTATGTAATAAATTTGTTGATGGTTCCCTATATTGTGTTTATCATATGAAATGGAACATTGATAACATCGGGACTGTACCTGAACATTTGTTTGCTCTATGTAATAAGTTTGTTGATGGTTCCCTATATTGTGTTTATCATATGAAATGGGACATTGATAACATTGGGACTGTACCTGAACACGTGTTTGCTCTATGTAGTAAATCAGTCACCGCACGTATCACTGAGCTTGCAACGCCAACTGCATTCTTGCGAGATTGGAATTCTGCAAGGACTTTACTATTTTGGATCTGGTTCTCTCCTTCTTGTGGTGCACTAAGTATAAAAGGTTAAAAAAGGTTAAAAATGGAAAACTAATCCCACACAAATGAGGTAATTCATAAGGCAAATTTAAGATATTAATTATAGAGTCCTGGGTATTATTTTACAGTTTCAATAAAAAAGGTGCTCTGTATATGCCTCATGCCTTGCTAAGCCAATGGTTATAGGGCAGGGGTTTGGCCAGGGGTTTTAATATAAGTTTCTAATGTGCAACTGCTTACCTATAGTAAAGCAGTTGTGGAATCTGTCCTCTAGTGTGGTTTGTACCATTTGTACTGAGTGAACAGGCAAAGAACGAGAAAGTAGTCCCATCTGGCCCTTTAACTTTGTTTAATCCACTATCACCATTCAGTGTTCTGTCACCATAGTTACGGAACCTCACAGCATAACGTACACCTTCCTAAAAGTCAAAATCAAATATTCATTCAGAATCTGTAGATCACATGTACAGTACTAAAGATGAAAAATACAGACCAATTATCACATTCTCTGCTATTCTTAAATTATTACATGATCTCAAAAATGATTGAATAAAATCCTCTACTCATGTTTCACATCAACTGTTTGATTTTTTGACTTCTGAGATTTTCCACAATACAAAAATATTCATTCTTCTGCTGCATTCATTCGAGACTTACCCTTATAGGTACAGGTTTCTCAAACTTCAGTTCAGCCACATCATTGGTGAGGTCATCGGGCCCATAGCTTCCCTTGATTGACTCAATGTTGTTCCACTTCTGTGAATGGAAGGAGTCCCCACCTCCACTACTTTGCTGCAAGTGCAAATTTGGTTCACATTTTAAAGTGTCTTTTCCAGAAGTTGTTATGTTACAAAAGCCAATCCATGTTACTCCAGGTATTTCCCTTCAGGACAACACAGTCTGATAATTGTTACAAGAGAGTTTAACTTTTCTATGCTCCACACTACTAAGATTTGGCCCTCAACAGGATGTTAAACATATAATTGAATATGAATAGCCTTTAACCTTGGTTCTACCCTGCGTGCAGAATCTAGTTATAAACTACCCTTTGCCTAGTATAGACTATATTAGTTTAACAACCCCGCCTCAAAGATTGGTACCTATGACAGCCCAGGTAATAAATCATTTCAAATCTACCACGCTGACCCTTTCTCAACCAATCAGTTAAGTGGAAGGAACACATGCTAAATACGTGCTCATTAACTATGCGGTAATGTCAGAGGAAATGACCATTATAGAACAAACTCTGATTGGCTCGGTGGGATCAAAGATTTATTGTAAACTGAAAGAGTGAAGACGAAGCTCTCTTGAAGTTGAACGAACGCAAAGGGTACCTTAGTTCTTACGCGTATGTTATACTGAAGTATATCTAGTATATTTCTACTTACATCGTCCAATAGCTCAAGTTGGTAGTCATAACTCCCACCACCGCCGTACACACAGACACCTGCTATCATGATGCCACTGCGGTCAACGGTGAATGCTACAGCATCTGGAGATCCTCCCCCTGTGTTCCAGTACTTGTTCTGGGTGGTGCGAGTGTACCTATTGGGCGTGGTCAGTAGAGGCCTGGTCTGGCCATCTATCTCACCCTGTAAGTGAAAGGGAAAATGTCAACCAAATGAGGACAGGGGAAACAATAGGACCAAGACCCTATAGGTGAAAGGGAAAAGTTCAAGCTACCAAATGGGAGCAGGGGTCATTTCCCAATACAAAATTTGTATTCTCATTCTGTAGCATTTGTTGCCAAGATGTTGTAGTCAAGGTCAGGACAGAAACAATAGGGACCAGAATCTGGGATATTCTCTACTAAAAGTGCATGTACAGAAGGTTACATTCTAAAAGGCCTATCTCAGGCAAGACAAAATGCAACACTGAGCTTTTCTCCCTTTAAATGCACATAAGTTAGAACATAACAGACCTACCTCAGACCCTGTAGCAGCTGCAGAGAGCTCACTGACCACTGCAGCAATTAGTGAACATGTATTAGAGACAAGAGACTCTGGGTAAGTGACAGGCTCACCATACAGGGCCTGTCTTACTGGTAAAACTGCTATTGTTAAGAGTTTGTCAAGGAATTCCTTGAAGGAACAATTCCCACTCACCACTCCCTCCATCTGAAAATACATCATATGAGATTGGAAATCAAAATTGATTTTTTTATTAAGATGTATTTATTTCACTGTAAAGTAAATCTCTTCAATCGCCTGAAGGCATTATAGAAGAGTAGGATACAAAAATATAAAACAAATACAATATTATGATACAATTGAATTCAAGGGGTTCACTCTGCACTTGGGGTTGGCCATGATGGTAATGGCACCATTGGTCAGGTCATCATGGCTTAGCTCAACTATAACGTAACAATGATTTCCCATTTACCCCAGAAAAATACCAATATGTAATTCATGTTTGTATGAAATTTCAGGTTAAAATATTAGAAAAAAGATTTTAAGCATATTTTACGAGAATTCATGAATATACAGGGTGACACAGAAATACAAACAGGGGTTTCATTAGCAGCAGGCAACAGGCGGATTTTAGGGGACTTCAACTTTTCCATGTTAACTTATGATTACCACTAATTTTACCTGTTGTTTTCATTTATTTAGCCTTTTGTGAGAAATTCTAGTGAAACTCTTTAATTTTGGGAGAACTTTTTTCAATCATCATGGAATCTTCTTGATACAATATTGGTGTTTTACAAGTTATCTAGAAATTATTCAAATTTGGTGAAATTATCAAAGATTACATTTTTGTGGTCATTTTGCAAATTCCTTCTCGAGCAGAGGTCCTACACACTAGCCTATAAAATTTTAATTAAATTTAAACAAAATCTGTCAACTGGTATTTGAGTTTAATATGGACACACTAACAAACTGATGGACGGAAATGAATGGACAAACAGATGGATGGACAGACTGCTTCTCTATATCCCTAAGAACTTCATTCAGTGGGATAATTATTTTCGTTACTGAATAAAATACTGGTTTGAAAAAGTCAGTATACCCCTGTGGAACCAATCCTATTGCTGAATAGTAAGATTAAGGGAATACTAATTTTTCAATAATGTTGATTTTGCCTCAACACTCTTTCAATAATTAAAAAAGAACCCAATAATATTTGTTCAACATTCATCATTTACAAAAACGCTAATCAGAAAAAGCATTTAAATGATCATATAAATGCACAACCTTTTGTGACTGTTCATTAGTTGAAGTAAAGCTTGTACAATTATTAGTTAGAGAAACACCAAAATTCACCAAGATTTAGGAACTTCTGTGAGATGGAAAATGTAACATTTAACCACAGTATGGACAAAATTATCAATTTAGGAAATGAAAGAAATATAAGTTCCACAAATATTTCACAGAAATGCAATATGACAGGCTCTGAAGAAAACATATTTGCAATTTTATCATCTGTACTTCTACTATTGTTGTCTAATATCGTGACAGGACTTGGACTTATAGGGAATCTACTGTCATTCTTGGTGCTTTCAAAGGAGAAAGTTTCGAACACAAGAGTATTTCTTCTAAAGACGCTAACCATAACAGACTCAACATTTCTCCTACTGACTGTTCCTTTCACTGTGAATGGCAGGCACCAAATTGGGGAGATAAACTTTAAAGTGGATATTACTGATTTCAATGAATTATTACTGCCAAGTCTATCTACAGCATCTACTCTCACAACTTGGATGGTTGTCTTGGTAACCATTGACAGATACATGCACATAACAAAGCCACTTCGCGTGAAGACATTATTCACTGTCAAAAAAATGAAATGGACTGTTGGATGCTTAGTAGTTGGAGCATGCCTCTACAATGTACCTAGCTATTTTGAATGGCCTGGTGATACTTGCTTATTACATTGTAATCCAAGCTATCACCTTATATATAATGTGATTTTAAATGCAACCTTAAGATACTTTGGACCAGTTTTCATAGTTTCTATACTTAATGTGATATTAGTTAAAACTATCAGAAACTCAAAATCAAAACTTAAGCAAATGACATGTAATGAAATTGAGGAAAGAAATCACGTCATTACCATGATTGCAATTGTGTCAGTATTTCTGATATGTTCAGTGACCAATATGGTTAATGAAGTTATAAATATGCTTATAAGATATAATATTATTTCAATACCATTTTTCAAAGTAAAATTGATGACCATTGTCTCAAAATTTTTTCTTGTTTGGAATTCATCATTTAATTTTGTAATATACTTCATGATAGGGAAATCATTTAGGAAAAGGTTAAAACAATTATTTAAGAGGAAAAATAACAATTCACCAATACACTAATGAGTTAGCAATTCACAATTACACTAATGTGAAGAATAACAATTAACAAATGGAATAACAACTGATGAATATCAAATATCGTTGTATAATGTATTACAAGTGTGACAATAATTATTGTTAGTCCCTGAGTGTAAAAACTCGCATCTGATTGGTCAATTAGCGGTCAACATTTTTGCCTGTACCTCACCTGTGCATCATGGGATATCATATCATTGACCGCTTATGTTACTGTACTACACTTGTGAATTATGGGGAATATTACGTCATAATGAATGAAAAAAACACCAGAAAAATCATGGTAGACGGACATTTCGTAAACGTTGATGAAAGTGATATTTTGACTTTGCTAGACGACAAGTATAGCAAAAATACAAATAGAAACGAAAAATTGACATTAATTTACTAGTGAGTACGCAGTTACATGTATGTGCCGAGAACAGAGAGTTTAGCAACCACTGTCTTAACATTTTCTTAAAAAATTATTGCTGGCGTGGTTCGGAGAAAAGATTGTGAAATGAAGCCATGATTGATGACTGTCGTCTATATGTGTATTATTAGTTTCTTCTGACTAACAAAACAATTGTAGACCTCTCAATTCGGTCAACCGTCAAAATCATATACCTCGACTGTAAACCTTGAAATTACTGTTGACCTTGACCTTCGGTCTCTGTCAACAGTAGTTTCTTGGTTTACAGTCTCGGTATACAATTTTGCCGGTTGACCTCTGGAGAGGTCAACAATTGTATTATGTAATATTATTTTTTCCGGCTTTTATAGCCCATTTATTTCATTTACATTATACATAATATTATATTAAAGTAGAAAAACTTGTGCCGGAAAAGAGAAAATAAAGGTAGATGTGACACTGGTAAGGAGGCTATTTCATTTTTAAGGTAACTGGACAACTCGGACCCAGGACAACTCGGACCCTGGACAACTCGGACCCAAGACATCTCGGACCCAAGACAACTCGGACCACTTTTTAAAATTATGATCTTTATCATTATGTATGGTTTTATTTTTTCATTTATGAAAATTAATACATATATTATATATTGTGACTTCATATTTTGTATTAACTTGATGAAAATGTTTTAATTTGACTTATTTGATGAAAGTTATGAAGTAAGACCAGTAAGAGAATATTGAAGCTGAAGACCCGAGACATCTCGGGCCACTTTTTGAAGTTATAGTTGATTTAATTTAAAACAATTTAATCGAATTAACACAATATATGAATTCACAATATATAATATATGTCATAAAAACAAATTAGAACCCCATACAATGATAAAAACCATCATTTCAAAAAGTGGTCCAAGTTGTCTTGGGTCTTTAGCTTCAATAATTTCTTACTTCTTAACTCTCATCAAAACATTAATTTAAAACAATTTCATCAAATTAACATACTATATGAATTCACAATATATAATATATGTCAAAATAAACATAAAAAATAATTAAAACCAAATATAATGATAAAAATCAAAAATTTCAAAAAGTGGTCCGAGTTGTCTTGGGTCCGAGTTGTCTTGGGTCCGAGATGTCTTGGGTCCGAGTTGTCCAGGGTCCGAGTTGTCCTGGGTCCGAGTTGTCCCGAAACCATTTTTAACATAGTTTATAAATTGGGGATGCAAGGGGACTCATATGAATCTTTTTAGGAGGCTCCAACTGTCGTTGTAGCTCTTTGCTTCCTTTGAAATTAGTATGTCTTGCTTCACACTGTTCTTCCATCTTTGTAAGTCTGGTTTTTCTTGTGCCAGTTTGGTTTTTGTAAATAATAATAATAAAGTAATAAACTGCCTAAAATACAAGTTTGTTTCATTCTGCTAAACTCATCGCTGACTTACCTCAATATATCTCAGGGTGCTGTCCAATAATTTTAACACAATTTGTACCAATAATTTTACCAAATATTGTAGGGGTCACTAGGGGAACATTGTTGGGTGCATTTGAGATGTATTGTCATTGGCTTCACAATGGCATAAAACATAGTACATAGGTTGTTGACACAGACCATTTTATGCAAATATAAAATATACCATTTTGCTCAATTTTTCATCAAAATGGCCAGTCACCAGCAGAAAACCTCCAAAAGGCTTTGGCCAGCAATGAGTTAATGTTACACATGTACAAGGTTTCAAAACAATGGCACTCTCTACTGCAGCAGAAGAATTACCTAATGGAGACAGTAAATCTTGAGCTTTGTATTGATGAAGTTTTAAGCTATATATGACATAATACTGGAAAACAGCAACTCCACAGAGTAGCAAATCCCACTATACGAGTATTTTACCTTTCATTTTGGACATTACATGGCAGAAGTAAAATTTGGTATTGGAGTTATCAAAGATTACATTTTTAAATAAAATGGTGGCCATTTTGAATTGAGCAGCCATATCAGCCATTTTGAATTGAGCATAGCCATACAGAGAACAAACCAACAGACGGAAGCTGGATGGACGAACAAGCAGATGGATGGACAGATGAATGACTTCTCTATATCCCTATACACTTTGTTCAATGGGATAAAATGAAAAGTAAGCTAAGATCTGAACATACCTGAGTATTGTACCGCATGATGCTTGTGAGTAGTAAGAACTTGCACTGGTCGACAGATTGGGCAGAACTATTTGTATTATCATCTGGGCTCCCAAACTGTTTCTTCAGGATCAGTTCCGTCTCATGGTGACAATTAATTGGTAGAATACTGGTCAATTTCACGGTAGGCTGACAGAGAGCTTCCATGAAGGCTGATAGGAGGCGGTCACTGGGAGGCTTGTCATTCTCGCTCTATAATATAAATTCATGCTATCATTTTATTTATATTTATCAAAATTTCAGTTCGATACACATAAATATTATACAAGTTTGGCAGTTCTTATAATGTTGAGGATTGGATGTTGGATATTGTTATCAAATGTTTGTTGATTTCTAATAATAGGAAAATCCTAAGTGGAAGCACCACAGTCTATTTCAATATTATATTATATATTTGAGTAAGTAAATGAAATATTCATAGGCACACATAGTTTTTCACTTTGAACGTGTTTTGAAAATCATGAATATCTTTCAAACTTTTGGGATTGCTTTATACTGAAGTACATAGATATTAACATGTTACAGACACCGAACACCAAATGCTATCCACAAAAGTTGGAGACTAAATGTGTCACCACTTATGGAAATTATTAACTTAGGCATATTGTTCATACTACATTTTCAGTAAAGTCATGATCCAACAGATTTCAATTGTCGTATTGGTTGTTCCCTCTTCAAAAGAGGAGACCCGAAAGATTTTCCATATATGGTCAAAATATTTTCCATGATGAAGTTCGCAGAGGAACAAATTCAAACTTCCTAGTTTTCCCCCTTAGCTTTAACATGGGGCTTTTCACTCCTATTTTTCAATCGATATATTCATTCATATTCCCGAACGGGTATACAGAAAAAATTATCAGATTGAAATGATTGATCTCCTTTTAATCTTAATATAACAGATATTTTTTCATTGTTTTGATTCATACTGTGGTGAAAACGATGATTGAAAAATGAGAAAATATTCTGGAAGAAAAGGTCACATGATCAGTTGACTAGACGCCATATTGGAAAAATAATTTCATTCAACTTTCAACACTGCAGCAACAGAATAAAAGTACTCATCTTCAAATTGCATTACAGAGTTACGTTGAAAAGCCACAAACAACTGAGAAGTTGACCAAAGAAGACGCGTCGCTAGAGGTCAATCGGTTCAGTGTCCGAAAGCAAATCTATAGTACTCATTTCCGAACTTTATTGTTCATTGTACAAGCTTTTCTTGATTATACTTGGTATACTGAGCATTAAAGCAATGACAAATAACAATACTTCTGATCGTGTCATTGTTTTATAGCGTACGGGTGTAAAAACAAAATTGCGTAATTTAGAACTTTCGGGTCACTCAAATATCTAAGCGAAATGTGTCGTTGGAAAATATTGATTAATCATATTTTGTCCTTTTTCATGGCTTTTTAAGTTCATATTTCCGTACCTTCTTGATTAAAGAGCAATTTAAACCACGAAAGGCTTAATTACGATTCAAGCGCATGCAAATATTTTGCATATACTCCTCATTCATAGTAGATTTGTGTTGATAGATTTTTACATCTTCCATGAAATAATTCGCTAGTTCACTGGATTAAAAAAAGATATGACATGTAATTCTAGAAATGATCATAATTCTATAAAAATGTTAATCAAATGTTAAATGTGGATATTGTTATTTAAGTTTATTATCTTCTTCAGAAGTTAAACATGCAACTAAGTTATAATATTAGAAACAATCATGCATATAGTTTAAAAGTTATTTAAAAATAACTTGGAAATGGAACATCAAGACACCAATGTACCAAGTTAAACAGATTATTTTTTACTAAATTCTCTTGCTTTACCCAAAGTTTACAGTCTATTTCCTACTTAATCTAAAATCAGTTAACCTGTGTCACCAATCTAGTTAAATTGACTACTAGTTACAATTTACCCCCCCCCCCCTTCAACACCCTCCAACTGTCATAGCATACAGAAACATGAGATTAGGCATCTACAGATATCATTGGAAGATGCTTCCTCCTTTTTGGCATTCAATAATGGATGTGATTGTGTGAGTCTTGATGTTTTGAAATAATCTGAAGATTAACATGCAAATGCATTTGTATGTTGTGTGCGATTAGTATGTTAGAAGACATTGAATATAAAGCAGAGAAACACCACCAGCTATGACATGTAACAAATCTCATTTTTACCACTTGCATATTAACCTAACCACATGCCAATATAACATGCTTTATAAATCAAGAAAGTGAAATCGGAAATATAAACTAATAAGGTCCCTACAGCCATTTTAGAAAGTCGTCCTTTATATTAGTTTTCATCAACCAATTCATAATTCTTATTGTATCATTAAATGTCAATCATTTCACACAGTACAGTTATAAATTACCCTGGTGTTTACATATTCACTATATTAAGCCCTACCCTGACTGTAGGAACCCTTTCTAAACAACATTTAGTACATCACTCCTTCAGGTTTTCTGCAAGTTACAATGATGCATGTGAAACTGGTGAATAACTTAAGTGAGAAAGACATATTCTGCTGAATTCTGAAGGATTTCTCCGCAATTTGCATGAAAAATAACAAAAAAAGATTATCCAAGTATACTCATTTTTCATTTTTTCAGTCATCTAGCAAATCAAAATTTATTTATTCAGACTAATTCCTTCGGGAAACACATTTTCAGAAAAAAATATGTCAATTCCACAGGAAATTCCATGAAAAATCAAAATTCAAGAATTTGCAAATCCATGAAACTTAGCGCTCTGTCAGCACTCTATGGATATTGAAAACAAAGAGGAATAACTACTCCCTTTTGGCTAACTATTCAATGTATATTAGGCTATTGTCAAAACATTCTAGATATTAGTACTACCATGCGATGAAATACTATAGGTTAAATCATGGGTTAGTCTTGCCCCCACCCCTATTCCCTAGGTACTTGTACATCACCAACTCTGGTGAGGAGGGGTCCAGGGTCTGAAGCAAGACTAATCATGGGTGACTGTCCACTCAAGGAAACCCATGGTTGAATCTACATACATAATACATTCTAATGCCCCATCCATGTATTTCAGATATTAGTACTACCATGCAATGAAATACAACTATAAGTTAAATCATGGGTGTCCACTCAAGGAAACCCATGGTTGAATCTACATACAATACATTCCTACCAATTTTTCTGGCATCTGCTTATTGTATACGTGATATGTCCCAACATACTGTCAATGTAACAAACAAGCAGATTGTTGATTTGTGCAAAAGCAGCAATCAATTTTATGTTGATGAATAATGTAATGTTACAGAAATGTGTTGATTAATACTCAAATCACTACAAAATGGATGGTTGATGAATGCCAACCCTAGATGGACAGTTCATTAAAAATCTATTAAATTAGGAATTGCAATTCCAAATCAAAAATCAATTTTGTGTAATTGATTAAAATGTCTTTAGAGCTAAAGGGCATAAATGGACCTTTCTTCAAATGATTTCTATTGGAGCAGTATATCTTAATATATATTTATATGCAAACAGTCCAAGTAAGGTTAAATCAAATATTATAGGGCTTATCAAATCTCAATCTCATGCAAGTTTACTACATGTAAACATATTCCAATCATAACACCATTAAATGAAATTCACAACAATATAAATTAACAATAACATATTAATTCAGACCCTCTCCTACACTGTATATGTAAATAGTTCCTGTCAGTACTTACAGGGTCAATGCTGTTGAGAAGATCGCAAAGGCAGATCCACTTTAGTTCCCCAGTGGGGTAGAAAGCATGGAAGCACGCTGTGAAGGTCTTGTGACATTCTTGTAGGATTTTACTGGCCATATTTAACATGGGGGCCTAAAATAATGAAACAACACTGTTATAACATGTACAGACTGTCTTCTAACTGGCTAACTCTAGCGTGGGGAAAAACCAATTCATTTTATTTTAAAAACATTTTATTTCATTTACATAATGACTGCATGTACAACTATCAAAACAAACAAACCTTTTTGACAGTGAAACATATTTACACACTTAATCCATTATTACTTTTACCATTATTGATTGATTAAATTAAATATGGATGTCACTATAGAGCCTGTCTTTAATCGTGATCCAAATATGGTTACTACAGTATAAAACCTGTGTACAGTGAACAGCTATGGATCCACAATACAAAGAGTGTTCCCTGTAGGTAGTTGTTCATTACAGAGAGGGTAATTTATACAGGAGTCGGAAGACTATTTGCAGAGGAAGGGTGTTCACTAGAGACAGGTGTTCACTTGAGAGAGGTGTTCACTTGAGTGAAGTGTTCACTTAGACAGGTTTGACTGTAACTATAAAATATGCAAATAACTACAGAATATACCTTAAGAGAGTCACTTGGCTTTAAGTTTGTATCTTTTGTGTGATTGTTCAAAGATGGTGGCATCCCCTCAGAGAGGATCTTCTTTAAGAGACCCCTTGCCTTATACACACATTCTGCCTTTCGTATACTATCAGCAGGGGTCTTTTTCTCAATTGCTGTGAAAAGAAAGATTATACATTTTTAAATGAACAATATAGCTTCAAGAACAAGGCCCTCTATGATAAATATCGCACTTGAATTACCCAGCATTCCCAAAACTGATGTTGGCATTAGTCTGATTTTGCAATTGTAAAAATTTCAAGTTAAATGGTTTTCTTCAATATCTTGATAACAAGATTTCTTTTGGCCTCTCTTCACACCCTACTAACTTCTCTTAGTGTGGATACATTATTAAACTATATCATCACATTATAAATATACTATGTTATAAGCCTTACGTCCATTGGGATACACTTCACAAGTATATATTCTCAACAGTCGTAGAGTGGCCATACACACATACACCAGACGTTCTAAGTCCAAGATGGCTGCTGTCAGATTGTCTCCTTTGAGGCCAACTGTGTTGTTGAGGGCAGCTTTGAAAGTCCTCCATCCCCATTCTAGTAGGTTTAACAGTGAGCTAAAACACTCCTGAAAATAAAGCACAATTAAAAATATTTAATGAAATATGTCTCAATGAAATTGATTTATGTGTCAATTCTAAAAAAAATGGTGTCAAATATGTCATTAAAAATCTGCTTGTGTTTTAAACCTATGTTTATTAAGTTTCGTTATCACAAGGTAAAATCATATATATTCTTCACTGAATGAACACATCAAACACAAACTGCAACTTGTATGATGCAATACGCAGCTTGACCACACTGTGGCAGCAAATTTTTATTGTTTTTGACATGTCAATTCTCAATCTCTGGTTTTGCCAGTAATCTAATATTTAACTTACAGGTGAGACTGTCCTAGAGAATTCTCTACTAAGAACATGAGCTGGTTCTGATTGTTCAGCTTTCCTGCTTGGACTCTGGGATGAGTTAGATGGAAGCCTAAAACAGAGATAACATCTAATAAAAACCGGGGCCGGTAATTTTTGGACAAACTCAAGGGGCCATTTGTAAAACAAAATGTATCAACATTCTCCCTCAGATACTGAATTCACAGAGTCACTGGCATTTTTAGCAAATTAGACTCAATCGAAAGTAATCTCCATTGACCAAACTTATCTGAAAGATGTTTGAGAATTTCTTGCATTTCTGTACTATTCAGAGTACTGACTTTGTGCATACTTTTCTTTTTGATTCCACTTGCTATACTTCATTAGTGTATTGGTATATTGGATATATAACTTTGATATTAGTGATTGGACATGGTTGTAAATGAATGCAGCATACATTACACATACCTGTATAGAAGCTGGGGTATCTGGCCTGCATTCACATCTGTCCCATTGTTAGATTTTTTGGAGCTCTTCATCTTGAACACAACCCTGCTCAGACAAGGAATATAAATTGTATACAAACAGTGTAATAAGATATGAGATAACATGTAAGTTTGTTTTTTTTCTCTTCTTTTGTACATTTGCCCTTAAAGGGATTATTGGTACAATAAATAAATGTGATATTACTATAAACATATCATAGTCTCTGCATTCAAATATATTTAATCTTCATCCAGCTGGAGACGTAAAAGGTCAGATCAATCTTTAAAGGGTCAAGCTCATGTTAATCTATTAAGAGTCAAAGCTACACATGTTAGCCATGTGAAACTACTTTGGAATATTCAACTTGAATGTGACTCATATAGATGTCACTACTTACTGGTCCTCGGTGGTTATGGTTGACTGACCACTAGAGCCACAATCACTGGAAGGCCCTGACACTCTGGCCCAAGCTACATACCAGTGGTTTGTCTGACATAACACAGGTTCTTCAAATAGCAACGAGAATTTCTCTCTGAAAGTGTAAAATATATGAGTTGAAATTTTGTAAACAAGACAACTAACAATTATTGAACCTTAAAAGTAGGAGATAAATTGTGTACAGCAAAACAGAGGTGAAACAATACAATTACAAAATACTAAACTGCTCTCAAAGTTCAACAAAAAAAATGACTGATACGCCTATTCTCGCTCTCCTGACATATCATAAACTATCTCTTAAACCCATTTTGCCTTATTCAACATGGTCACCAGTCTTCCTCTATTAACTTACCTAGCTCCACATTCATAGGGCACTTCTTCTGTCTCAGCCAGTAGTTCACCATCAGTCTCATGTTCACCACCCTCAGGCCCCAACTCATAGAGCTAGAAAACACCATAAGATATTCAACACAAGGAAACCATAGAAACCTTTTAAGGTAGCTCTGAATGATTTGAACTTTCATGTAATTATCATGATTTTCATCATCAATTACTATGAAACGGGTTATATTTTTGCTCACCATATTTTTCACAATTTTATGTGGATTTTTAACTGTTATGGTAGTGTACAGTTGCACAGCTGACATAATTCAAAATAAAAATACATTTTTCATAAAACATTGAAATGACATTTCCAAGTTATGTATTACAAGCATATGTATATCCACAGACTATTTCTAGACTTATACATGTATAATGATCGGAAAATCCATAATAGAACAATGTAAAACACTCCATATTTTTAATATATGCCAGTTTGTACTTGAATTCTCTTACCTTGATTTTACCAAAATATTCCCCTCTGCCACCAAACAATCCAAACCCTCCTAGTAAAACATCAGAGTCTGCCATGAACCTAATTGCCTCAATAGAGTGGCCAGAGTAGCCCCAACCCCCTCCATGACCTATAATCAGAAATACAGGAATGAAGTGGTGAAAAAATAAAATAAGATTTCTAACAGATGTGACATTAGGGGTTGGGTCAATATTTCATGTCTGTCTAAAAACATAAATCAATGTTTGTCATCTAATTAAATAGCCTTTTACCCCCTCCCCTAACTTAATTAATAATTATGTTTTTTGATGGACCCTGAAATATTGACCTGACCCTTCACCAAAAGGCAAGATAAATTCAAAATGCAAGACTTATTAACCATTTTATTATCAAACTGGCTGATTATCAAATTTTTTTACTTATTTAGTATAACAGTACTAGCTCTTAACAATAATATTCAATATAAATCCTGTATGTAAAAATTTGAACAGCCATTTCATTTACTAAAAATACCTACTTTCAAATCTATTGACAACTGCATAGTCCTCTTTGGAGTAAGTCTTTGTCTGTATTCGCTTTTCTTTGTCTTCTTCATACACTGAGAGGTTCAGCTGTTGGGCAGTGGTCAATGTGTCCAGACAAGCTGAAAGAAAATGGGATGAGTTCCATATTACAATATTTGGATCAAAATAAACTATGATAAATTTTGTATTACATGTGTGTGATTTGATCAAAAGTTTGTAGATTTGAGTATACATTATGATGGAATTGGGATCACTTTCCGTAGTACCATTCTACATAAGACTACAAGATATGGAACTGTTGCACATAGGACCACTGGGCATGAGTTGGACATTAGTATTTGAGTTATCAATTATACTAAGACTTTTTATGCAAACTGACAGTCATATTTAATGGAGTCATTTTATTGAAAATTCCTTCTCAAGCAGAAGTACTATTCCCAATATATAAGGCATCAGTCAATAAAATCCAAACCCGATCAGAGAAGCAGTATCTGAATTATTGCCTGGACACTTTAAAGGATGAAACTAATGGTGGAACAGATAGAAAAGTGGAAGAATGGACAGATGACGAATGAATTCTCTATATCCAACTCAAACTTTGTACAGTGGCATAATGAGCATAAACCACTCCACATAAAATGATATCTCACCTAGCATATGAAGTGCAGCATGTGCCCTTGTAGAAAATGTCCCCATACGAACTGGAACAGCTAGTTCAGGGCTCAGTATACTAGATATCTCACTACCAGACATATGCAGTTTGCGCACATCAGGGCTGATGACATTGTAGCATGACACCTCATGATTGATTGGAGAGTACCTTTAATACATAGTTAGCACATTAATTTGGCTCATCAATGTTAATTAATGAGTCATCACACTGTCAGACATGAGAACAGATCTTAAGCTCATGGACAGCTGGTCACTACCATGTGTTTCTTAATTTTCAATACATACTGGATATTTTCAAGATATATATGAAACATTGCAACTGATCAATCCAAATGTCCTTATTGCAAGTTGCTCTCAAATCCCTAATGTATATGTGGAGTTCTCAGACATCAGAATTGATGACACTGGTACTCTACAAATTTTCAATAACTGAGTATACTTACGCCCATAGAGTGTCAAAGACAGGATCAAAACATATACTGGCATTGGCAAGATCAGCCTGTTCTGGTCCATTGAAGCTCCTGCAGTTGCCATCTAGGTTGTTAATGGTGAGGCACTTGATGGTAGATGACCCATATTCTCCTCCTGGTATTATACCTAGAATAGTGAAGATATTATAAATTACCAGAGTTAAACTCAAATGGGTCAAGAATTCCCATCATTTCCTTTAACTTCAAATCTTAATGATATAATAACTGAATTACACATAAAATATGCTGAACAAGGCATTAAAAAAAATATGACTCAAATGTCATGAGTTGGTTGAAGTTGGTTGAAGTTATCGAAAATGGTTGAATATTAAACAAATACTGGATGACCATGAGGTGGATATGCCAGAATACCTATCCGAGGAAAAAATACTAGGCGAGGCGTGTTCGACAATCAAAAATTCCATTTATTCTCTCATTTGGCCTTATTCTTAAGTATTCCCCCCGTATATAATAAGTTTGGCCGATGCCTTATCTAGCGGCACCTACCTTTTGTCAGTTAATCACAGGAAATTAAATGGAAATCCCCTTATCTCATATCATCAAATCATTTCTCCCTCGCATTCGTCTCAAATTCAACATGGAAGAGATTCTAAGAAAATGACGTCATCGACAAATGGACTCGTCGAAAGTATTTTTTTCGAGGATAGGTATTCTGGCATACGGGATGGTTTGAGATCTCGTTGCTTCAATACTGGATAGAACGAGATCATGCTGCCACGTATGGCAATAGACCCTGCAGCTCTTAACCAATCAGATTTGAGTATTTTAACGAGGTGCATAATAAAATAAATAATGAATAATAAACCCACCTATACAGTTAGTATTGGCGAACACTGTAGCACTGGTCAGTACATGGACGTTAATAAGAGATTCATCAATACGTAGAAATGTCTGGTCTCCACTAGCTGCGATCCATGTTGCTCTTCGCCCTGACTCATGCCCGATTCCCTGTATGAGGGCAGGGTAGGCATGCCACTTCTGTGCGAGGGCTTTTGGAACACACCCAGGAAGTTCAGGAAACTTGGTTGGTTCTGATCTCCCAAGCTGGCCATTCTGAAAAATTAAATGGATCGCCACTTTTTAAACGGTACTCATAACCCATCGGCTATACTACAATATCTTCAGATGTTGGTTAATATACAGTTTGGTATTCATCCAATCAATGATCACTAAAAAGCCATGCTAATGTCTTAATTCAAGACAAGAAAAGCATTGTGGCTGAAAAATGGCAGACCCTATTAATTTTGTAATAAATAAAAACTGTGGGGCCGGCATTAAGCACTCCATTCAAAGTTAAGGGTATCCATTTTTCAGTTATTGTGACTAACAAAACTTTTAATGAATTTTCATGAATAACTAGTATTTCAATCCAAAAGATAATGAACAAATATTTCACTCTATTGAGGTGAATACCTGTACATCTTTCACATCTTTCCCTTCAGGCTTCGTGGAATATCACCTTGTGAAAGTGCTACAGGTATTTACCGAAAATAGAGTGAAATATTTGTTTTATTATATCACTGTCTAGCTAAACATTCCTAATATTATTAAGTCATGGGTTAACATTGAAATACATACGAATCTACTCGGTTCGTCTGCCATTTTGACTTACACTGAACTAAATTATTTAAACTGAACGAAAACAAATTCTTTGAAAATTCCCGGGAGCGTGGGATATCGCTAGATATCTCACGGTTGTCTTATCTGATTAGCATTGCCATTGAATATCGCCAGATATCCCACGACATGTGACCCGGTTTTGACCAATCATACTGTTGCTAGCTAGATAGTGATATAATAATACACTGTATGTCTATTTCCAATATCATTGTATTTCTTACTGTATGGTTCCCAAATGTGTATACATTGCCGTTAGTTGACAATACAACTGTATGTGTTGACCCAGCTGCAATCTGAAGGGCTCTATGGTCCAGTTTCACCTTGGTAGGGACACCCCTAAGAAGAAATTCAATCATTAGCTTATAAACTCAAGTTATGTCCTCAATTTACAATTATGACACCCCAAAGAAGAAATTCAATCATTAGCTTATAAACTCAAGTTATGTCCTCAATTTACAATTATGACACCCCACAGAAGAAATACAATCATTAGCTTATAAACTCAGGTTATGTCCTCAATTTACAATTATGACACCCCACAGAAGAAATTCAATCATTAGCTTATAAACTCAAGTTATGTCCTCAATTTACAATTATGACACCCCACAGAAGAAATTCAATCATTAGCTTATAAACTCAAGTTATGTCCTCAATTTACAATTATGACACCCCAAAGAAGAAATTCAATCATTAGCTTATAAACTCAAGTTATGTCCTCAATTTACAATTATGACACCCCACAGAAGAAATTCAATCATTAGCTTATAAACTCAAGTTATGTCCTCAATTTACAATTATGACACCCCAAAGAAGAAATTCAATCATTAGCTTATAGACTCAAGTTATGTCCTCAATTTACAATTATGACACCCCACAGAAGAAATTCAATCATTAGCTTATAAACTCAAGTTATGTCCTCAATTTACAATTATGACACCCCACAGAAGAAATTCAATCATTAGCTTATAAACTCAAGTTATGTCCTCAATTTACAATTATGACACCCCAAAGAAGAAATTCAATCATTAGCTTATAAACTCAAGTTATGTCCTCAATTTACAATTATGACACCCCAAAGAAGAAATTCAATCATTAGCTTATAAACACAAGTTATGTCCTCAATTTACAATTATGACACCCCAAAGAAGAAATTCAATCATTAGCTTATAAACTCAAGTTATGTCCTCAATTTACAATTATGACACCCCACAGAAGAAATTCAATCATTAGCTTATAAACTCAAGTTATGTCCTCAATTTACAATTATGACACCCCACAGAAGAAATTCAATCATTAGCTTATAAACTCAAGTTATGTCCTCAATTTACAATTATGACACCCCAAAGAAGAAATTCAATCATTAGCTTATAAACTCAAGTTATGTCCTCAATTTACAATTATGACACCCCACAGAAGAAATTCAATCATTAGCTTATAAACTCAAGTTATGTCCTCAATTTACAATTATGACACCCCTAAGAAGAAATTCAATCATTAGCTTATCAACTCAAGTTATGCCCTCAATTTACAATTATGAGTTTATTAACTCAATGTATGCCCTTGATTTTCATGATAGAATAATAAATCTCTGTTCATGTACATGTAAATTCTTGGAAACAATATTCATAAACTCATGATCTGCTTCCAAAATAATCCTTAAACTGAAAAGAATATAACAGAATCATATCAACATGGCCGAATGGGATATTATAAGCTATACATAAGTAGCCTACCTTGGAGAGAAGTCTGTCAGTCCTAACTGTCCATATTGATTACTTCCCCAGGTGTATACATCACCATTCTCCAGTAGAGCAACTGAAACAGCATTGATCAATTGATGAAATATCAAAATTGTAAAGCAATGCATGGATTTTATGTGAGTGCATTTCATAGGTTGCAAGTCCATTCATACCACATTACTCACACTTAGTTGCTGAGTAGTTTCTAAGAGTTCATTTACTATCTCTTATGCAGGTATACATTGATTAGTTTCACTAGATATTCCTTTTTTAAATTTCTAATTATATTACTTGTTTTTCAACATTCTTAAGTTCACTGAATCAGATACACATTTTAAAGTCGTACACATTTTAAAGTCAAATGAATGTTTTATTTAATTTCCTACCTGTATGTTGTAGCCCACAAGCTATTTGTATACATGGTGACTTGCCATCTCCCAGTGTTATTTGAGCTGGAGGTAAACTCACTATCTTTGCATGGTCAACTTCAGCTTCTTGATCTAACAATGAGAAAACATCACAAACGGTCATGTTTTGAAATATAGAATAGAGAGGAAAAGAGTGGAATCAGTGAGAAATAAAGTAAACAGACATGCAGTTAACACTGATTTCATTGAAATGCAGGAAAACCAATATTACTAATTGTATAGAAATGCAAGAAAGTATAATTCTTTATTCAACTAACTCAATAGCATGGAAATGGAATACAACGAATGTAAGCCATGGGTAACAGGTAACAGTTTAAGAGAAAATACATCAAAAGTATAACCTAAAACAATAAGACCACATTTCTGTCATATCTAAACCACTGGATGCGAATTCACATTTGTTCAACATGGGGGCTACATACCCTTGAGATTTTTCTTTGAAGCTGCTCTCTGGTGAATCAGTTGTCTACGTTCTTCCAACTTCCTGCTCAATTGGTCAAAGTTTCTAGCACCATGGCGACCTGTAGCACAAACAATTGAAGTACTGATTGAAAAAGTTCCAAATGAATATTTCTGGATGATCTTACATGCATTTGGAGAAATATCCTGACAAGGTCATCTGTTTTTGTCTTGAAATATCTGCCGCCTACTCAGAAGTTGTAAATATGTTATTCTTTTTCAAGAATCATCTGAGGATATTACTCACCCATTAAAAGATCAATTGGAATCATGTCTTTAGATTTGGCAAATATCTCCAGTAAACCTGCATCCATCCCTTCGCGGTCTTTTTCCAGGCTTTCACCGGCACACGTCCTACACGCACCACATACAGTACATCCTGAATCTCCCGATCCACAGCCACACGGACTAAAATATACAACTTTTTCTTAACTGGTTGCAATTTACATTTTACTATTTAGAGATAAAATGTTCGAAACTCTAAGAAATATCCAAAATGTTCACTACTTTTAAATTGAACTGGGTGCCATTTTCAAAACAATGAATTATTATTCCCTAATTAAATAGAAATGTTAAGATTATGGTGGTCCAAACATGAATGACCAAAAGAAGCTTTATGACCTTATTTGTATTGTTACAAATAGCGATCATATGAACAGTAAAATTAATTCCAGAATTTGACGAACCAGATTATCTAAATTATGAACTTACGTTCCTGGGTTGCGGTCAGGTCTCCCACTACTGATGCAGTTTGTTCCATAGCCAGTGCATTCTCCACATACACTACAGATCAGACATGCCTCACTCTTCCACTTGTGCTTACCTAAAAATGTATGGGAATATTTCAAAATTAGATGATAGAGCAGAAACAATGAATAATACAATAATAGGTGGAAGGAAAAACATCTAGGGAACATTCTAAATTCTAGAAATGACATGACATTATATGGGAAATACTATATTCACATTTTAGGCAAGAAATATGGGATTTAGGCAAAGAAAATTTAGAGGCATTCCCGACTTTGTCTTTTGTGATGACATAGTACTTCAAAATACTCTTGTCAGTTTTAAATAAAATGTGCCTCATATGATGTACAACAGTCAATATTTCTATTTGAGGAACTATTGATATGAGATTCTATTTTTACCTGGTGGACACATAGAGTCATCGATTTCTACTTCTTCCTCATCTAGCATGGTTACCGGGTTACTCACTGAAACAAGGATTATCATATAAAATGTCACCAACTGCTATTTGTTACAGACATCAAGTGCCATCAAAAAAAGTTGGAGACTATTACAAAGCGTGTCACCACTTGTGACACAAATATGACACAATTCAGTTGGCTCACAAGTAATCCAACTTAAGTGCAATGTATACATGTATATACATAAAACGGATGCACAGATGGTATATGAGAACTCAAAATCCTGTAAGTTAAAGCCCAATGTTGAATTCTTGAACTCTGTATAAATTACATGTACATCATAGTGTATTGAAAATAAGGAAGAAATCGCACCTTCTCTTGAAGCTCCCACTACAAACTCTCTTCCACATTGTCCCTTGTTGTTGATACCAAATGTGTAGATGTGACCTTTGTTTGTTAGCGCAACAGCGTGCGCTTTACCAAGAGACATGTACGTCACAACTAGATCCTTGAGATCTGTCACATGGCCTGCAATTAAAATTAATATTTTGAAATCTGACATCATGGACTTTTACGTCAAATGTATTTAGACATGTATCTGGAAAAGCCAGTCAAACTCAAACAAGTTTAGAGCAGATTACCTAATAGTGCCTACAGTTGTGAACTTGCATCTAGTAATTGTTGAAGTGAGTATGCCAAATATTTCAAGAATTTCTCACATTTTGAAGCTGGGAACAAAATATTGAGGTGACCGCATCTACAAGCTCATATTAATGTCTTACCGCTAGCATGATCACAATGACAGGTGTCTTTGCCAAACATATAGACTTCTCCCTCCTTTGTGATGAGAGCACTGGTTCCATTGTTACAAGCTGTCTGTATAATAGACTTGTTCTCCATACGAATCATCTTTTTAGGTTTTACAGGCTTGGCCTGCTTTCTAGCTTTTGCTGAAAAAGATCAGTAAGGCTATATTATAAGTATGTAGACTGTAAATGATATGAATTGAAAAATATGTAGAGCAATATTAGGAGATGTGGGGCAATATAAGGAGAATACAGAATACAATATAAGGAGAATAGAATACATGTAGGTGTACCTCTGTCCTCCAAGAATGATGTCTCAACATATGTAGAAGAAAAATGTTCTAAGGGAAGAAAGCAATTTTACTCATTACTTGGTATTGGAAATAAATGTGGAGGTTTAACTCCAATTTCTGCATCTAAACTGTATAAAACTTATTCAATTCCATGTATGACCTATGCCGCCCCAGTTGTGAATTATCAGCAGAAGGACATTGAAACTATTAATAAAACACAACGTGATATTGGGCGAAGGATCCAGTCCTTGCCTAGATCTGCTAGCAATTCCATTTCTACAGTGACCCTAGGGTGGTTAGACATCGACTTGTATATAGATTTTTTAAGAATGATGTTCTTGTGGAGTCTTATTCAGTTATCATATAAGAATGTTTACAAAAGATTACTTGTAATACGTTTGACAAAATTCTTACATGAAGGGTTTAAAAATACCAAAATATTTTCACCCATGGCATCAATGTTGCAATGTGCTATGAGGTATGGATTTAGAGAGATTATTCAGAATATGTTAGATTGTAATATTGTGATAAGTAAAGGCCAATGGAAAAGATTAGTTTTCGCCAATGTTTCACACAGCCAAATTTATAGAACGTCTATTCAGTCAATCATGTACAGCAGTCTTGCAGATTTTAGAAAAAATGTTTGTATTACATTGGATCCTAATATATGGTGGATCGTTGCTCAAAATTTTCCGCGGGCAACAGACTCTTGTAAACTAATGTTTAGACTATTGGTAGGTGAGCACAACTTGAACTATAAGAATAGAGGAGGTGAAGATCAGTGTAAACGATGTAAACTTTGTAACTCATTCCAGTTAGAGACGGTTGAACATTTCTTAATGCATTGCTCTGCCGCACAATACTCCATATACAGGCAAGAACTTAAGGAATGTTTTAGTAAGCACAATTTCGAGTTTTCGTTCAATACAATTCTTGGGATAAATGTTGTGCCAAATCCAAATGCAATTGTTCTCTTAAAAGAGATAGCAAAAATTATTTTCAAACAATATAAAGCACGGTCTAACAGTGACTGTGTTTGAGACACTTACAGTGCCTGACTCAACCGTACGAGCATTTTGCTCATTGAAAAGTTTTTATACGTCTAATATGTATATAATTTTGTCATAGTTTTGTACTTTTATTTTACATCACTGTACATATAAATTGTATCTCCATTTTATTATGGGCAATAAAGATATACAATACAATAGGGAGAAAAATATGGGGCAATTTTAAGAGATTATGTAGCGCAATATAAGGAGAAATGTGGGGCAATCTAGAGAAGGAAATTATTTGGGGCAATATTATAAGAATATGTGGTGCAATCTGACACAACATTAGTAGAGTAATGGCACAATATTAAGAGAATGGAAAATATTGGGGAAATATAAAGAAAATATTTGGGTATTTTTAGGAAACATGACAGTCAATCTATAAATCTTATCTCTTAAGGTTTGGCATACACTTACTCATACTGCTGTCTCCATCTTCTCCACGTCTGGGGGTGCCAACAAAGAACACACTGCCATCCTCACCCACAAGCAGTGCATGCTGACCCTCATGACCCACCGAGAACTGTATGATCTTTGGGGACTTTGTAATGGGGAGTTCTGCCCATTTCTCAGCTGCTGGTCCACCTTGTTTGATACCTAGGGAGGCTGCCTTCCCAGTGTAGAGCAACTGAAACATGATACAAGATGCATTTTATTACACATATGATCAACTCCACTGACCCACAGCCCCCCATAACTGTTGGATCTCAGCTGACCTTATTAGAAAAACTTACACAAATGGGAGTAACATTTAACTTCAAATGTATTGATTATGATCTTAATACAGAAGTCCCTTCACAAATCAATCAAAATATTTGTCACAAAAGTATTGGGATATTCGAAAACATTCCACTTTAATCAATTATAATAGATGCAAAGAAAAGATATAGATTGTACCTTCCCACTTCCGGTGCGGATAAAACAGAAGTCTTTCCCACCAGCTATGTTGACAGAGTCTTCGTCATACCCAGTATCTACAAACAAATCAATGTTAAAAGCAATGTCAGAAAGTTACAAACAAAACAATGTAAAATCAATGTCATATAGTTACTAAGGGTCTAACGGTGCTCCAAAACCGCGGTGCTCCACGATTCTTAGGCCTCAGTCAGTACATTTGGTTCAAAAACCGTTACGGTTCGGTTTTTTAACGGTTTGTTAATTCAGAAAAAGATTGCCGTTCGCAAAAATATTCGCTAATATAGTAGAGAAGAAAATTCCAAACTACCTTAGAGAAGATCTGTATTTGGAAAAAACACTGAAAGATCATTTTAACTTTACCTTATATGGAGCTAGCAATTCTTGGTATTTTGCAGTTTAGTCACTTTCAGTTTTTGAACTGATAGCACTGCCATCTATATAACTTCATGAAAATATTTTGAAGTCCAAATTCATTCATATAATTACAGTAAAACCTGTGTATAATGAACAATTTTTGCCAAGAAAAAATGTTCACTGTTGGTAGGTGTTCACTACAGCAATGATTTGATTTCGTGGCATTTTGCTAGATTATATAAAGAGACCAGCTATTAAAAGAGAGGAGGGAATAATCAATTTAACTTGTATTTTCTACCCATATTAAGCCATGACACTCTAGCGTTAACTATTTGATTTGTTGTAATGTTATATAAAAACTGACTTATTTTAGACTGACTGTGATCTGAATGGTTCATCCTTTTATTGTCAAATTTTAATCTCTAATTTATAAATAGAGGATGTTCTTTTTATTCCATAGTTAAAGTCATCATCAGAATCGTCGGAAATTAAGTTATTTAATTCGAATTTCCAAACGATCCGGCGATGTTGACACTTAGCCTCGTTTTGAGTCTGAAGTAGCAAAAATCCATAAACCATCGCATACGACGTCGTATGTCATGGCTAAAAAACCGTATGTTATGGTGAAAATTTGTCAAAAATATCATATTTTACCACTGATTACAAAAATACCGTTTTTATGTTCACATGTTATCCTATGAATATCATGCTAACTATGGAATAATTCTTTTTATCTCATCAAGATGGTCCTTTAAGACAAGTGGAATCTTTGAGACATTTGAGTCACTTAAATTGACTTTATTGAATTAGTTAACTCATTCGCATGCTCAGGCGACTTTTGTCGCCAATACGCTACATGGCATATACGTCGACTCCAGGTTGACAAGCTATAGGGAAGTTTTAACAGACTTAAAAAGATGTCACCCTAGTATTGCAGTGCCAATGTTCGGTACTCACATTGACAGGAAGTGATTTAAAATTAATTTGGCGAAGAGAAATGATTAAAAAAAATTATTTTGGTCACCTATTGATTTATTTCGAAACAAATACAAATCTGGAAGTGATAAGACAGGTATTTAAAAATGGCAGCCAGGGCTAGACTGGGTAATGATGATCAAATCGCTGCTATATTCAATGATTCTGATAGAGAAGCCTAATATTTGAAGCCTCAGAAAATGAAATTTCAAAACGATGATGGGCCTGACAACTCTGTGGCTGGGGGACAGGCCAGGGAAACTGCTGGGGTACACCAAGGTAAGTTTAGTAGGGGTCTTATGTTTTTTTTGCAATGTACATGTTTAAGATTTTTCATCATCAGTGCCTCTCATTGTGATGAGTTCATACATTAACATATGATTTATACATATGTTTCCAATCATGAGTAAAAATTTGGTGGTGTTATCTCTGTTGATTTCGATTTTATGTCACTTTCAAATTGGCAGGCATGAAAATCCTAATCTTTAATAAATTAATTAACGCTTAGTAGCTTTTAAAAATAATTAAATAGCGCGCCAATGAGTTAAAGGACATGATAGATGCAGCTTATAGTGAAATGATCATGAATTATAATTTTAATCCAATCTGTTTTTTAAATTGATGGGATGAGAAAAAGATCTAGTTGGGACTTAGCAGATAGATGTAATAATAGTTAACCAGATTATCTTTAAAGCAATCAATCCCAGAAGCATATCCTGTGTTACAAAAACAAAGCTTATTAAGAATTATAATTAGTCACACCTGTTTCAATAGAAGGGATCAAGATCTCAAATTAACCTTTTAATTATTTTTGGCAGTCTAATATAAACATAAACTGCTTAACTCTGATAAGGCAGTTGCAGAAAATCTGTGAGACATCTTATATCTGATTCAATGTTCACTAGAGACAGGATAATTCAATTGATTTTGCTAAGATTTGGTGTTCACTGTTCATAGTTGGTAGGTGTTCACGATAGGATTCTACTTTAACTAACATGGGAGTTGTTGGGAGAAAAAGGTTTTGCTGAATAAAAATGTTCACTGTTGATAGGTGTTCACTAGAGAGATGTGTTCATTAACTCAGGTTTTACTGTAATAACAATCTTTACAACTGCTTAAAGTTAATTCTACAGATATATTTGAATAATATATATTGATTTATTTTAATGTACAATGTACATTAATAATTAGTATTGTATTATTTGTTCATCCTCATTGTCAGTAGACTTGAGAAGTTCATCATGTTCCTTTTAAAGAGGTTCAATTCAAAAGATGCACAAAGTTCCTTTTTTAACTTACTGATCTCTACAAAAGTAGTGCTACAATATCATTTTGGCCAATTTTAGAAAGATTACTCGTTATAATGAATTCTTCACGATGGACATAATGAGAAAACTTACTTAATGTATGTATGTCTGTTTGACTGTCATAAGAAGCTGTCCCAAACACATCCAGGCATTTTCTGGCAAGTTTAAGTGGTATTTCACTTATTACAGGCATTGGTGACTTGGTTGTATCAAATGTTCTCACCAGGAAGTAATCCTGAAATAAAGAAATATTGAACAAGGCACAGACGTGAACAATATCGTACCTAAAACACAGCATTGTGGTCTTGTTGACCAAGAAAGCAAGATGGCCGCAGAAAAGTTAATCAGCTCTAGAACTTATCACTGTGTAACATATGAAAAAATTTGAACGGTTTGGCTAGAAACCTGTAGACAAGCCTCGATAGACAAGATTTTAGGATGGAAAATCTAAAATGGCAGCCTTAACATTTACCCAGAATGCCCAAAAACTAATCAGTTCTTGACGTTGATATGTAGAAACATCCCTGAAAATTTCAGATGAATTCCTCAAATGGTTTGGCTGGAAACCTGTAGACAAGTCTTGAAAGTGAAGATTTTAGGACAGAAAATCCAAAATGGCCACCTTAAAATTTACCCAGAATGCCCAAAAACCAATCAGTTTTTGACGTTGATATGTAGAAACATCCCTGAAAATTTCAGATGAATCCCTCAAATGGTTTGGCTGAAAACCTGTAGACAAGTCTTGAAAGTGAAGATTTTAGGACGGAAAATCCAAAATGGCCACCTTAAAATTTACCCAGAATGCCCAAAAACTAATCAGTTCTTGACTTTGATATGTAGAAACATCCCTGAAAATTTCAGATGAATCCCTCAAACGGTTTGGCTGAAAACCTGTAGACAAGTCTTGAAAGTGAAGATTTTAGGACAGAAAATCCAAAATGGCCACCTTAAGATTTACCCAGAATGCCCAAAAACTAATCAGTTCTTGACTTTGATATGTAGAAACATCCCTGAAAATTTCAGATGAATCCCTCAAATGGTTTGGCTGGAAACCTGTAGACAAGCTGAAAAGTGAGACGCCGCCCGCCCGTCCGTCAAGCTGACTACAATATCGTACCTCTTGTCTATCATTTCTTATGACCTTGTCACTGAATGAACAACTGACATTACACACAGTGTCACTTAGGGAACAGTAACACAGTGTCACTTAGGGAACAGTTGATATTACACACAGTGTCACTTTAGGGAACAGTTGATATTACACACAGTGTCACTTTAGGGAACAGTTGATATTACACACAGTGTCACTTAGGGAACAGTTGATATTACACACAGTGTCACTTAGGTAGCCTTGCCCCAAGTCGGTCTCTTTTACTTATCTTGATTTCTAATTATGACCGCCTTGTACCAAAGAGAAAGCCACGTGCTTTACCGACAGTTTGTTTATGTCGGTGATTTTGACCAATAGCACGCGATCTTTCAATGTCTAAATTTAGGTTACAAACACACGAGGTAATACAGCTGTTGATTTTGCTCCAATCAGCAAGTTAGTATCGGAACCTTTGATAGTGGCATTGTGGGAAGTCCTACCTCGCTTTACTTTCATCAGCTAGCAAAACTGAAAATGACCCTCGCAAAATCGATAAACGTTTTATTTGCTAAATAGAATTGAAAGTAATTTGAATGTAGTGAACCAATTTAATATCAGAAAGTTGATGACTGATCAGTTCACATATAAACACTTATAGTTATGCTGTAAAAAGGATAATGAAAAGTTATTATGTTTCTGGTGAATGCGTTTTATTTGTAGGGGAGATACTTGGATTTGCAGACTGCAAGCATGCCGCATATAACTTCACAACCGCATGGCGAACACGTGGATTTATTTATTGATTTTTGTGTATGACTACCGCTAATGCTATAGGGCACGCTTAATAGTTGGTGCATAATTTATCATAATAACAGTGGAGATGTATCGGATTACACAAGGCGGTAATAATTCAAGATCAGATAAAGTAAAAAATACCGACTTGGGGCAAGGCTATCACTTAGGGAACAGTTGATATTACACTTACATCTCTGACTATAGCAATGTGGCCCAGGACTTCTCCATTGCAAAACATCACATTTGTGTCACCGTCATTGCCAGAAGAACTGGATACTGGAAATATCAAATGGAAAAGGGTGCTAGATCTAGTTTATGTACATGTACTTTTAATACATATATATATTAAGGTTTAAAAACTAATCAGTAACTTTGATAAATAGCCTGTGTCATTGATCAGTTTAAGCATATGATTTAACTGACATATAATTGCTATAATCTGTGCCATCTAAAATGTAGAGTTCCCTCATATGCAATTCTAATTTTCATGGATCTTTTGGCTTTGACTTTGATTGGAACATTGCCTCAAAAACATAAGCGATTATACAACAAATTGTGCCTAAAAGTGTCATTGAACATCATTATCAAATTAAAATTCAACTCCTCCTAAAAATCATCAGACAATAAAGCTTGTCCATTACAGTGTATATGTACTCCATTACAGCGTATATGTACTAACTTTCTGGTCTGGTTTTGCCTACAGGTTCAAGTGTCTCTGCATCATAGATTTTCAGCTCAGGTTGATCACTCATATACTGTCTGTAGAACAGCTTGCCCTGAAACATTTTCATCAAATCATTTATTCAACGTATCTGTTATTTTGTTGTATTGTTTATTTATGTTATGTGCCGCAGGCACTTTTTACATATTATACATTTATACAAAAATCTACAGCTATTTGTGATACTGCATACCACTACATATCTGTCATATACTATATTTCTTGATGATTCCACTTTATACACATATAGCAGTTGCTACATTATACACAAAAGAACATGAACTACATTTCCCAATGCAAAAATATCAAGGGGTTCTTCAATTTGCCCAATGGTAGAAGCACATTGTCACTTGGCCATTGTATACATCTACAAGAGCTTACCTTACAATGTGCTATCCCATTTCCCCAATGGTAGAAGCACATTGTCACTTGGCCATTGTATACATCTACAAGAGCTTACCTTACAATGTGCTATCCCATTTCCCCAATGGTAGAAGCACATTGTCACTTGGCCATTGTATACATCTACAAGAGCTTACCTTACAATGTGCTATCCCATTTGCCCAATGGTAGAAGCACATTGTCACTTGGCCATTGTATACATCTACAAGAGCTTACCTTACAATGTGCTATCCCATTTCCCCAATGGTAGAAGCACATTGTCACTTGGCCATTGTATACATCTACAAGAGCTTACCTTACAATGTGCTATCCCATTTCCCCAATGGTAGAAGCACATTGTCACTTGGCCATTGTATACATCTACAAGAGCTTACCTTACAATGTGCTATCCCATTTCCCCAATGGTAGAAGCACATTGTCACTTGGCCATTGTATACATCTACAAGAGCTTACCTTACAATGTGCTATCCCATTTCCCCAATGGTAGAAGCACATTGTCACTTGGCCATTGTATACATCTACAAGAGCTTACCTTACAATGTGCTATCCCATTTGCCCAATGGTAGAAGCACATTGTCACTTGGCCATTGTATACATCTACAAGAGCTTACCTTACAATGTGCTATCCCATTTCCCCAATGGTAAAAGCACATTGTCACTTGGCCATTGTATACATCTACAAGAGCTTACCTTACAATGTGCTATCCCATTTCCCCAATGGTAGAAGCACATTGTCACTTGGCCATTGTATACATCTACAAGAGCTTACCTTACAATGTGCTATCCCATTTCCCCAATGGTAAAAGCACATTGTCACTTGGCCATTGTATACATCTACAAGAGCTTACCTTACAATGTGCTATCCCATTTGCCCAATGGTAGAAGCACATTGTCACTTGGCCATTGTATACATCTACAAGAGCTTACCTTACAATGTGCTATCCCATTTGCCCAATGGTAGAAGCACATTGTCACTTGGGCATTGTATATATCTACAAGAGCTTACCTTACAATGTGCTATCCCATTTCCCCAATGGTAAAAGCACATTGTCACTTGGCCATTGTATACATCTACAAGAGCTTACCTTACAATGTGCTATCCCATTTCCCCAATGGTAGAAGCACATTGTCACTTGGCCATTGTATACATCTACAAGAGCTTACCTTACAATGTGCTATCCCATTTCCCCAATGGTAAAAGCACATTGTCACTTGGCCATTGTATACATCTACAAGAGCTTACCTTACAATGTGCTATCCCATTTCCCCAATGGTAGAAGCACATTGTCACTTGGCCATTGTATACATCTACAAGAGCTTACCTTACAATGTGCTATCCCATTTCCCCAATGGTAAAAGCACATTGTCACTTGGCCATTGTATACATCTACAAGAGCTTACCTTACAATGTGCTATCCCATTTCCCCAATGGTAGAAGCACATTGTCACTTGGCCATTGTATACATCTACAAGAGCTTACCTTACAATGTGCTATCCCATTTCCCCAATGGTAAAAGCACATTGTCACTTGGCCATTGTATACATCTACAAGAGCTTACCTTACAATGTGCTATCCCATTTCCCCAATGGTAGAAGCACATTGTCACTTGGCCATTGTATACATCTACAAGAGCTTACCTTACAATGTGCTATCCCATTTCCCCAATGGTAAAAGCACATTGTCACTTGGCCATTGTATACATCTACAAAAGCTTACCTTACAATGTGCTATCCAACCTCTGCCTTCACTGTTCTCTTTAATCTGTCTCTCTTTACAAACTTTACCCTACAATACAGGAAATACATACTCTTCTTAGTCTGTCATTGTCAGATATAATTGCAGGTTGTGTCTGCAGAGAAGCATACTCATCAAACATATTATTGAAAAATATCGAATCCAGTGAAGGAACACAAGAAATACATTTCTTTAAACTCTTGTAAGTCTACCAAACAGCCCAAGTTAGAAATAATTAATCAGTTCAACATTTACATATGTCACACATAGAGGTTGCAATTTGATAGAACCTTACACAAATTACTGGAACCATCTTAATCTAAAATCACAGGTCATACATGAGAAAAATGGTATTTTTGGTATTTCTACAAAAGAGCGAGGGAAAGTATCGCAACAGATTTTTGACAGTAAATAATTTTTTTCTAGTAGTTTCTGGCTGTACAAAAATGAATGCATATGAAAGGCCAATGTATAATCTTTAAGAAAAATTCAAAGAATGGTTTCAAGATCAATTGGATTATCTCATAAGCCATGTTTAATCCACCCATCAACAAGCTTTTTTTTCAAAATACAATCGTCATTTTCACCATCGTCCCTCATTTTTTTTTACAATTTTCATGCAAAGTTACATTGTACTTGAACACATGTTTCATCACTTAAAATATATAAGGAACTCCTCGTGGATTAGGATTATGATAATCCAATATAAGGGGATCCAATGGGGCTATGCTTTTAGTACAGCACACTCATATAAGATGTCATTAGTGTGCCATAAAGTTAGTTCAAAATGTTTTCATAAATGAATGGTTGGACTTGTTTGATCCCCTGCTGTTTGATCCCCTGTTTAATCAATGGAGCATAACCGCAGCATTTCCCAAAAAATCCTGAATACCTGTCAAGTTGACTGTTTAATGTGTGAGTGCAGTTAAACCTGTGTGTGTGTGTAAGTTGCTAAGAAATTCTAAATACCTCTCTTTATGATAATTTCTATGATGCCTTATTATAGCATTTACTTTGAACAGGTTTTCTGTATCTTGTTTATCAGTAATGATTCACGAGGTACAGTGCTATTAAAATCATAAATACAGTACAAGAATTTAGTACATCATACCTTTGCCAATAATTTTAGTAAGACAAATATTTTGATCCAGCTTCTGAAAAAAACATTGAACATGTTTCTATATGATGATGTGTTGTAACACACTTCCTTATTTGAGTTTATCTCCAGATTGATTATTCAAATAATGAAATGAAGGATGATATGCTAAGAATAATTTTTGCATATTCATCAATTCAAGAAATGTTATCCTAAGAAAATGTTATGAGTAACATACACTCTTACCTTAATGTTAACATTAGGGAGATTAAGCTTGCATATAAAAACATTGCAAGCTTAAAGTCCCTATTGAGAGTCTCTGAAAACCACAATCAATACCATTGAGTGTGTGGTGTATACTACCTTTATCATTATTTCTAAGATTTACAATAACATCTTTTTAGCAAAATGTCCGATTTTCTTCCATATTAATGTGAACAAATATAAACAAACATAGAATGATTCTATTGGTTGAGTCAACAATTTCAGTTATTAGGGAGGTTAAGATCGCACTATTTTGATGAACGTACACATGGAATGTTAAACTTATGGTCCCCTATTCACTGTGTTATAGCATGACGGTTACGTCAAGGCGATTTGCAAAATTTTGCAGCAACGATAACAAAAAATGGCGGATGGGAAAGGCAGCATGTCCTCTTTCTCGCCTGTAGGCAATATTCACAGATAAGATTTCCTTTTAAACTAGTTCCATTCGGTGACGTATATATGGATGGTTATAAAGACTGGGTCAAATCTGCCAGGTGGTCTACAAGAAACAGAATATAAGCTGTAAACCTACCGACTGAGATATCAAAGTTTATAAGTTTTGATCCATTCTCGTGTTGTCTCAGTACATGAGCCACTCAAAATATTAACTGTAAGTATAAGTAAACTGTGTATAACTACTGCAAATTCAAAATACATTATTATGGCTTGAGTAGAACATATTAGGTGGTTTCCAATGCTCAATTGGCTTTGTATGATCGTATGTAGGTTACATCTATATACCACAAGGTTTTTAGGCAATATAGACCATGCCCTAACAACAAAAACAAAAATAAACAAATTACTAAATTTTTGTGTAGTTTTGAATTTCAAACTCGACAGTTTTTCTCTTATTTCATGTTATCTTCGGGCATCAATTTGCAAAGGCTACGTTCAAAATATACATTACTGAAAGTATCACCGAATGCGTTTCTTACATAAATCGTTCATCCTTTCATTGATACACAGAAGTAGAAAATAACGCGCCAACCTTAGTTTTCTCTTCCATCGCGGCCATTTCATTGGATAAATCAGTGAACGTAGCTGTCCAACCTCGTTTTCAGAGGTGGCGTAACCGTCATGCTATAACACCGTGCTATTGACTATTTTCACATCACTGGCCTCTTTTTGTCTGATTGATATAATGCCAATTGATGTAATGGTCCCCAGTTAAAGCAGTTGAGAGATGGACAACATTACTGGGGGTCATAACAGTACTCGTTCATGTTCAAGTTCTCACACAAGTGTTTTACACAGTCTGTAGCCAGCTTTTACCAAGGGGTATGAGCAGTTTTACCAAGGGCAAAGCTTTTGCCTAGGGATGAACTTTTTGACAGTTTTGGCTAAAAAATCATGCGAAGTGCTCAGATTGGTGAGAAACTGCATCATTTTGAAAGAATCTCTTGGGGGAGCAGCAGCTCCCTTTATCTCTCCCCTCTACCTGCCTACGAGCCTGTGTACTTAACCTCTCTAATGTTCATGATCAATACTAAATGTAACATTTTCACATTTTTCATATTTCTACTATTCATATTGACCAATCCCATGTCATTTTAACAGGTCCTTAATCCCTTGTTTTCTAGTCGTATGTGCTTTTATTATTCAGTTTCACAATCTATTGTTTTGCCATGCCAGTTTTACATGTTTGCATGCTGAGTTTGTTTTATGTAATGTTTTTTGTTCCTTATATGGTTTACACATTCACTCAGCTGAGTTGGGGTGTTGCCCCATTACTAGTTAATGTTGCCTAGAGTTTGTGACTGTACATACACAAAGTATTTCAAATATATATTTTAGAAAACATTTTATATTTGATTCCCACCCAAGGGTCTTCCACTCACCCATTAACACGGGTAGTATCTGAAGCCCCGCCATGATTTAGAAATCGCGAGCAAGTTCCCGCTGAAATCGCGAGCAATTAAAAGAAATGAAGGGGTATCTTTTGTTTACTTAAATTGTATGTTGTACAAAGCGTTTTCATTTAATTTTATTCAATTATCACATGGCAGTGATACTAAAAAGCAACTGCTGCAAAACAAGTATCACGATCTGATGTTCTGAATTTCGTTATTTGATAATTGGAGAGAGAATGTATCATCTTAAATCTTTATCTTTATATTTCTATATTTTATAGCTGAAGAAGGTCGTTGCCCTTCAGTTGAAATGTTTATAGTGATATGAAATAAAGGTATTCAGAGTTTCACTTCCTAAAGCTTCGCCGAAATTTATATATTTCCATTTTACCATATCCCTCAAGGCCCCGCTTCTAACATGAGCAATAAACTAAAGTTCCCGCTGAAAACATGAGGAGGCCCCGCTGAAAACATGAGGAGGTCCCGCTGAAATCAGGAGCAAGTGTCTCTCCAAAATGGAGTGAAGTCCGATTTTAATCTGCAAATCTGCCACGATTGTAGCCAACTAAATAGATATAATAATTATTGATACTCTACAGAGCACATGTATATCATATATCATTGTTAATGTTATTATTGTGACAACTAAACATGTACATGTGCGACTCTTTTAATATTATGTAATATCATTGTTATTTACGACTCTCTTTCATCATCAACTATCAATTCTTTAAAAAGGTCTCACGTGATTATGTTATTATGATAAGTTTTACCAGTGCAAGAGGCGCATACAGGGTGATCAATAAATAAGGTAAAAGTATCTGGCATTTCTTCAGATTTTACCCAATCCTCATAAAATTTGCACAGAATAATGTTCAAACATTATTGAATTGAAATATCAAGTTACAGATCAAAGTGATGTGATTGGTTGAAGTTATGGTTGCCATAGCAACAGAAAGCATGAAGACCCGGGCAACTATCAAAGAACTAAATTTTCAGTCGAAGCGCTTTTGATAATATATTTCAAATCACAATTGAAATGACATATCTTATTCTTATTTTATACTTCATAACTACTCTACCTAATGTCCTTTGTTTTAAACATGTAGTTCATGTCTTCTACTCCAGTCTTTGAACAAATTTTAAACCCATTTTCCCATAGCCTGCTGCAAATTTTTAAGATAGCTGACTTCAAGTCTTCCCATGAGAAACTCCCTCAACTCCCTCTTCAGGTCACCATGAAGGTAAAATCATTAGGGGACAAGTCAGGAGAGTATAGAACATGACCTAACAGTGGGAAACCCAGTGCTTCAATGGCTTGTACCGTGAGAATAGCATTGTGAGATGAAGCATTATCCCAGTGCAATGTGAAACGTTTTACGGGCCTCTTCTTCCTCTTTGCTCTCATCAAATCTCTTCTGTATTGTTTTTCATCATTGACCTGTGTCATAAACTTTCTATGATCAGATCAGTTTTCATTACATATTTATCTTTTCCATGACATCAAACACCAAATTTGCAAGAAAATATGTAACAATGGTAACAAAGTATTAAAACAATAAATGCTGGCACCCACGTTTATTTCTTTTCAGTTTGAAAAAAGGTCCTTTTTATCAGTTTTCGTTCAAATTGGATGCAATTAAATTGCCCCGGGTACCTCTGACTCCAGTTGCCATGGTAACTATAATATTAACCAATCAGATGGCAGAATTTATATCTTTATACGTTTTAATTCAGAAATGTACAAGGTATATTCTGACCAAATTTCAGGATGTTTGGACCAATATTTACAAAATACCAGAAACTTTTACCTTATTTATTGATCACCCTGTATACGT